CAGGCCCCGTCCGGCCCAGGCCCGGCGGCAAAGTCGTCCTCGCAGCCGCGCCCGGGCCTCGACACCTGCGGGGCTGCGCCCTGTCGCCGGCCTGAGACTGTGGCCCTGCCTTCCAGAAGTTCCTGCGGCAGTTTCCGAGCCGCCTCTCCTCGGGGGCGTGCGCCCCCGTCCCGCTCTTCCGTGGAGACCGGCCAAGGCCTGTCCGAGTGGGGGTTCTCAAGTGTCTGAAGCAAAGTGGCCCCCCAGCTGGCCTTTCAGTCCCACAGGGTGGAGGAGGGGCAGCAGAGACGCACTCCCGCATCGGCATCAGCCATTGGGTGGGTGCCCTTTAGAAGGGCAGGTGCAGCACAGGCGGGCCGCTGAGGTCTCCTGTCTGTCTGTTGTCTCTCCCTTCTGATCTAGCTCTGGAAGGCCGCTCTGAGCACACTCAACCCAAACCCCACGGACAGCTGTCCCCTCTACCTGAACTACGCCACTGTGGCGGCCCTGCCCTCCAGGGTGAGCCGGCACAACAGCCCGTCGGCCGCCCACTTCATCACCAGGCTTGTGCGGACCTGCCTGCCGCCCGGAGCCCAGCGGTGCATCCTGGTGAGTGCTCCCAAGAGAGGAGGGCCCCGCTGGCCTGTGTGTGCCCAGGGAAGGCACGGACGCCACCTGCTGCAGAGCGCTCTGGCCCACAGGACCTCATCCGCCACACCTCAGACGCTGTCACCCCTGCTCTGCAGACAGGGAAGCAGGTCCACAGAGACAAAGTGATTTACCCCACATCAGTTTTGATGGCAAATCTAAGACTCAAATCTAGATTTCCTGAGACCAAGTCCAGTGTCCGTCCCTCTGTGCCCTGCTCTCCTGTCTGGTGTCCAGTACGCTCTTTCTCACGTAGCAAGACAGTGCTTTGGGTCATTCCGTGGTTCTGGGGAAGGTACCCGAGGGATGGGATGACAGATCTGTGGGGCACCTCTGTCTAGACTGTGTCCACCTGGCCCTTCCTGGTCGCAGCCCCCTGTCATCCTCAGCCAGCACTCTGCCTCTCTCCCTGTGTCGCAGATGGTTTGTGAGCAGCCCGACGTCTTCGCCTCCGCCTGCGCCCTGGCCCGGGCCTTCCCGCTCTTCACCCACCGCTCAGGGGCGGCCCGGCGCTCAGAGAAGAAGACAGTCACTGTGGAGTTCTTCCTGGTGGGACAAGACAACGGGCCGGTGGAAGTGTCCACATTGCAAGTGGGTGTCTGAAAGTCCGGACCGTGTCCCTGGGCCCCCACCAGCTCGGGCAGCCAGAAGGGGTGTCTGGAGAGCTCTCTCTCCCCTTCCCCGGGGGAGGCGGGGAGGGCTGCTCCTGAGCAGCCTGGGCAGCGGACCCCCTTCCTCAGGCTGGTCTTCGTTTTCAGGGTCTGTTCTGTTCAGCCAGTGTTTGTTGAGCACCTGACCAGGGCCAGGAGACTCCATGTTCTAGTATTAACGATGCCGTTGGCGTGCATGTCTCGCCACCCTCTAGCCAGCACCCTCACGTGCTCCTTCCCTTGATCTAAGAACAACCCTCTGGAGTCAGGCAGGGCTGGGAGTGATTCCCAGCCTCGAAGTCACCGTGCGCCTGATTCCGGGCCCCTTTGCCCACAGCGGCAGTGCCGGACGCCGACTTGTGGCCTCGCCTGCCCACCTCCAGCCCCTGTCCCCACAGCCCGAGCCAGGGTGTCCTTTCTCCTGCTTCAAAGCCCACGCTTCACATCTGACTCAGGAAGGCTGTCACCATCAGCCCCCACACGGGGGCTTGGCCCACACCCAGCTCACCCGTGGTCTCCTCCCAACAGCCCCTGCCTTGGAAGGGGCGACTATTCTTCTGTCCCTACAGTCTTGAAAAAGCCCCTTGTTCTTCGTCTCCACGCTTGAAAACAGCAGCGTCTGATCGCTTTGCTGTTCTTAATTCCGCTTCCCCCAGCCTGCCGAAACCTAGTTTTCACCCTCTTCCTGCCGTCGTTTTCCGGGCCCCTGTCTGCTGGCTATTTCTCATCCTTCTTTGAAGTGCAGTGCACCCTCCAGAGCCTACCCTCTCTCCTGCTTCTCCCCGCCTGCCCACCTCCTGGCACTCCCTGTGTAGCCTGTCAGGCACAGCAGCCTCACCCGCTCCTCTCTGGTGGTTCCAGCCGCCTCTGGGCCCCGTTCCACATTGCACCCCAATGTCCACTCCTTCCCTCTGTCTCTAGGGAGTTCCTGCTGAGTTCCAGGCCCACCTTCCACCAGATGCCAACCTGGAACCCCGAGGGCAGGGACCTGGTCCTGTGCATAATAACCCCAGCCCCCACCCCATATCGGGTGATGGCACCAGTGGGTCAGTGAGTCCCTGTGGTCCCCAATCCTAGTGGTCCCAACTCTGCAGTGTGTCTTGTCTCTTGCCTTTGGTCAGCCCGTGCCATCATGCCTTGGGGCACCCCCACCCCACCCCCACAGCTCTCCTGGCCTTGTAGCCACCTCCTAACTGTTCTTCCTGCCCCTAGATGCCCTCCCTCCAGTTGCTCCTTCCTAGTGCCTTACAAAGGTGTGTGCAATCACATGAAAGCCAGCAGTTCTGAGTGTGGTCAGGTGTCAGACACCGCGCCAAGCATGCCTGCACCTGTGTGTTGACTTCCTTAGTTTTCACTACCGCCCCATGAGACGCGACCTACCATTCCCATCTTAGAGTCAAGCAAGTGAGACCCAGAGACATTAAGTGACTTAACCAGGGTTCCGCCAGCAAGAGGTAGAGCTGGGCTTTAAACCGCAGCCGCGTCTGTCAGCCCTTTTCCCCAGCTGTCTTGTATACTGAGCACACTGGGGTCTGACTACTGTGTGCTCTTTACTCAGACTCTCTCCATTTTCCTTGCCCAGGGACTCTCCTCAAGCCGCCACCCAGGGCCCAGGTCCCCTCGGGTCCCATGGCTTCTCCCCTCCTCTTCTGTGCATTTAATGGAATGGTGTGTTTTAATTCCCTGCTGGGCTTGAGTCCCTTGAGCATCTCTGGATTCTCAGAGTCTAGCATGTGCCTGGCACCCCGTGGTGCTCACATAACATGGAACAAATAAATGAATGATTCCCCTCTCCTGCTGAGGAATCTGACGTGTGGCGAGGTGACCCCTCTAACCCAGTGCCAGGTGGCTCTGTGGTGGGGAGGGGTACCCGGAGCCGTCTCCTGCCCCCATACCCGCACCCTTTGTGCTCCCACCTCTTGCTTTGCATCAGAGCTCAGAGCTTGCCAGGATCTGGGGTCTTTGTGGTGACTCCTGGATTCCTTCGAGGCCAGCCTTAATAGCGGTGATACAATTCCCAGGCAGCCACAGGTCTCCACGGCTCTCACCAGGTCCCCAGGGTGCTGGTAAGCAGGAGGAGGCCCACTGGCAGGCAGCAGGGACTGCACAGCACATCTCATATATGAGCTTTCAAGCCCTGGGTCTCTCCATCTGAGCTTTGGGGTTTCGTTACCTGGGGACAGGCAGAGGGCGAGGGAGGTGGCCAGGCTAGCGGCATTGTCCTGGTGCCGGCCCTCCCTGACATGATGAGGCTGGAGGAGGCAATGAGAAACTCGAGGCTGTCCTGCAGCCCCTCAAACCGGTGCTGCTTTTCTCTTTCAACATCGTCTCTTTCCAGTGAGCTGGGAAGGCCTGTAGGCCCCCGGCTGTCTGGAGCTTGGAGGCTGGGGGCAGGCGGTAGGGATGAGGAGGGGCAAGTTGAGCAAGGTACCGTGGGCAGATGCGAGGAAGAGGAGAAGGCAGAGAGCTGCAGGCTGGGCTGAAGCAGGGAGCACTGCCACCAGACGCCTGGCAGGCAGCCACTTCAGGGACAGTGGGCCATACCCATTTGTACCTGTGCCCCCTCTGGCCACCTTTGCAAGGGGTGGCTCTGCAACCCCGTGTGGCTGGCGTGGGCCATGGTTTCAGGTTCCTGCCCCTCCTGGGTGGTGGTGGACACGGAAGCTCCCGAGGCAGGACCTGTCTCCGTGTGCCTACCTCTGTGCCCAGAGCGGTGTGGCATCAATGACAAGGAGAACAGCAGCAGCCAGACTCCCTCTGCCCTCGTGGAGTCTGCCACAGACTCACATGGGACCCTCGTGAGACAAGCAGAGAGACGGTGTCCGGGAGGGCTGGCTGTAACAGGGCTCAGGATGCGGGCTGCTTCTGCTCGCTTGGGAGGGTCCGGAAGAGCTGCTGGAGGAGACAGCCTTTGAGAAGTGTCTTGAAGTCTGGCTGGAACCTTGGTGGGAGGAAAAGTGTACAGGATCTGCAGAGGCCAGAGGTGGGAATGCCCAGCGCGCACTCGTGGCAGGCACGAGGTCCACCTATTTCAAATGGAGCCGGGATGAGGGAAGGAACAGGACATGAGGCTTGGAAAAGACCCCAAGCCCCTGAGGTCAGGGCTCCCAGAGGCAGGGTTCCTGGTGGTTCTGGAGGCACAGGGTGGCAGCTAACTCTGCAGGTGGGGGGGGGAATCCTGGCTTCTGGGGAGGGGAATGCGCGGCATGAGTCTTGCTTCCCCCTCTCACTGCCCCTCACTGCACTGTCAGCAGTCCTGCAGCCTCCTCCCCACGTCACAAGCCCCTGATGGCTTTGGGTTCCTGGGGGAGTGAACGAGAAGGGGACATCCCCCTCCACTCCGTCCCAGGGTCCCAGTGACATTCTTCTGTTTCTTCCTAGTGCTTGACAAATGCCACAGAAGGTGTGCGGCTGGCAGCCCGCATCGTGGACACACCTTGCAGTGAGATGAACACAGACACCTTCCTTGAGGTTTGGGCCCCATCATGCCAGGGCCAGGGCCAGGCTGGGGTGGGTGTCATAGACCCCGATGAAAAGCAGAGGAAGCCTGTGGGCTGTCCACACTCTGACCTGGCCTGGGAAACCCCCAGGCTACTTCGATGGAGTTGTGCCATCCACCCAGCTCCAAGAGGCCAGCAGGCCTGAGCTCAGGGCGTGGAGAGGACAGAGCCTCCCCGTCAGGGCCCCTCAGCAGGACTGCAGCCAGGAGCTGCAGGAAATTGGAGAGTTTGGAGGGTGAGCCTTCTCTCCTGGGTTTAATCACGCCCGAAGCTGTGAGAGTTGCAGCCGCTGGCTTCCAGGGCTGGTTCCGCTCCCACCACGCAGCCTCGCCTTGATTTAAGCCATCTTCACGTGTCTCTGTGTTGTTTTTTCCACAAACTTGTCCAGGAGATTAGCAAAGTTGGAAAAGAGCTGGGAATCGCCCCAACCATCATCCGGGATGAGGAACTGAGGACAAGAGGATTTGGAGGTGGGTGGGGGCTGCAGCTCTGCAGGTCTGGCCTCGGGGTGGGGGGGTCAGGGCACTTGGATGGCAGGGGTAGGGCAGGCCACAGGGTGCATTGTCCCAAACTTCTCTTGCTTGTGCCTGCAAGGAATCAGCCCGTGTCCAAGACCAAGGCCAGACCCTGAGAAGCAGATTGTCTCTGGAGGAGAAAGGGGATAGCAATCCAGATTCTGACTCAGATTCTGGAAGCTGCCAGATCCAAGTCCTTCCCCTGCCTGCCTCCTTTAGCCTCCTCATGTGCTGCAGGCTCTCACTCCCAGGGCCAGCCCAGCAGGGCCTTTCTGTTCCTTGAATACATGAGTTCATGTCCATGTCAGGGCCTTTGTAGGGATGGCTGTCTATCTGGAATGCCCTCCCCCAAGATATTCTCATGGTGGGGGCCATCTTATTCTGCAAGTCTCAACTGAGACTACACCTCCTCTGAGAGGACCTCCCTGATTCCCAGGTCCATCTTCCCCAAGTGCCCAGGAACTGGAGATACAGATGGCTATGACTTGGCTGCTTCAAGGTCTTTCAGACTGGCTAGGGGAGGATCGCTGTCTTAGTTTTCTATGGCTGCAAAACTATCACCCAGAAGACAGTCGCTGCAGGCAGCACACATGTATCATCCCTCAGTTTGGTGGGTGGGGAGGCCTCCGCTGGCTCAGGGTCTCTCCCGGCTGCCTTCAAGCTATTGGGTGGGGCTGTGTCCATCTGAAGGCTCGCCTGGGGCTGGCGACCCACAGCCAGGAGCCAGCCTCAGGACCTCACAGGCTGTTGGCTGTATATTGCAGTTTCTTGCTGTGTGGACCCCCACATAGGGCTGTCCCCAGCATGGCACCTGGCCACCCTCAGAGCGAGATTTTTGGGTGACAGAGAGTGAGCAGGCAGCACGGGAACTCCCATCTTCCTGTGACCTAATCTCAGCAGGGTCATGTCATTGCTTCTGCTGTATTCTTTTGGTTAGAGGTGAGACACTAGCACCTGCCACACTTAGTGGGAGGAGACCGCACAGGGACATGAATGTCCAGAAACAGGGATCACTGAAGGCCATGTTAGCGGTGCCTACCGCAGACACGCAAACCAATTGCAAGAGGAATGAGAGGCCCCCATGTCAGGGAAATCTTCCCTGAGGAGCGACATGCACAGCAGGCCCTGTAAGATGGGCAGGAGTTTGCCAGGCAGCGCCAGGCAGCTGTCATTAGCTCTCGTCACAGTCGCTATGGTTGTGCAGCTCAGTTATCGGGGGGGCCTCAGGTCATGGGCTCTGCCCACGAGCAGAGCAAGTTTTGTTGAGAAGACGGGGTGTGTAACCAAAGAGGGAGGCCGTGGTGCAAAGAACACGGGAGTGAGCTGGAAAGGGCGGTGCCATCCCGAGTGCTGCCAGGGTTTGGGAGGGGGATGAACGCGGGCTGGAGCAGCCTTGAAGCACAGTCCAAAATCATCTCATTTTGCAGTGCTGTTCTTTTCTTTCTGGAAATGATATAATATTTTTTTTTCTCAGTGGGTTTTCTTGCCTAACAATACTTTGCATAGAAATAGAATTCATTTTCAGTCCCAGACATTGGAACTAATTTTCATTCCCTGATCCCCTGCTGGCCAGGGGGTAGGAGGGGGGCAGGGAGCTTCAGGAGAAGTATTGACCACCCAGCACTGAGGGCTGGTGTTTCTAGGGTCCTCTGGGAGTTCTCTGCTCAGCTTAGCCTGAGACTAACTAAGCTTTCCCTGTGCTTTTCATAGGAATCTACGGTGTTGGCAAAGCTGCCATCCACCCCCCAGCACTGGCCGTTCTCAGCCACACCCCAGAGGGAGCCACACAGACCATCGCCTGGGTGGGCAAGGGCATCGTGTATGACACCGGCGGCCTCAGCATCAAGGGGAAGGTGAGGTGGAGGCAGTGTGGAGGATAGGGGCTGGGGGCGGGGTGGGGTGTGGCCAGGTGGGGCCACCAGCCTTTGCAGTGGGGTCTGGAAGCAGTGAGGGTGCTTGGAGTTCTGCCCTGGGGTGGGCTCAGGGACAGCACCAACAGGGCCAATTCCCATTCTGAGAGGGAGGTGATTTCGTGTGGGATGCCTGGATTTCGTGCCCACATTTCAAACAGGAGTCTGGAAACAAAAACTGGACAGGGGCCAGAGAAAAACTGCAAACGTGATTAAGCGGGTGGAAAACAGAGCCCAGGGAGGCAGGGTGCAGGCACTGGAGTGGTTTTGTATAAAGAAGAAAAGGGTGAGGGTCACGCCCACATCCCCAAGTCAAGTGTCTGGGATTTCTACGAAGAGGACACTTAGCGATAGTCTGCACAAGACCCCTCAGGAAGCAGACGACTCTGTGAGAGCAAGGGGAATTGGACTCTGCACGAAAGCAAGTCACCTAGTAATGTCACTGAGAGGTGGCCCTGGAAGTCTCTCCTGGACTGTGGCTCTCAGTCAGCTATCCCAAGAGGACAAGCATTTGAGGGGCATTGGTGGTGATCATGTCTGTCACCCTGTACGGCCTGCTGTCCTCCACACTGCTCTTCGTCCCGTGTGCTGTGTTGAGCAGCTGTGGTGCACAGGTCCAGCTGGGCTCCCAGGGGCAAAGACTGGGAAGGACTAGGAATCCTGGAAAGGAGCCAACTGTGAAATGTATGCCCCAGAAGATCTGGAAGAAGAGACTCTAGAAGGATAGAAAGTTTTGGAAGGCTGGGGCAAGCTAAGCCCGTCCAGAGCAGAGAGTGAAGACTGGGTGCCCGTGTAGCTCACAGATGTGTCCTGTTGGCCCAAAAGGTGTTTTTAAAATGTGAATTAGTTACCAACATTTAAAAACCAGAAGAATTCTCATAGAAGACTGGATTTCTGGACTTTTATAGACTCAGAATATCTGACAGCTCTGGCCCTACATTCTCACCTGGCTGCATTTTGCTGGAGCTGAGTGGTGGCTACCCTGTGGGGGTAGCCCACGTGCTCCACTTTGCCACAGCCCCCACCACCCCCTGTTGCCTCCCTGACATTGATCCCCAGTGTCAGTTGCTTTTTAAGGCAGGGATCATGCTGCTGTTTTCTGCACTTCCAGTGTACCTAGTGTATTTAATACCAGAGTGGACATCATTTTTAACATCCCTTCTTCTCTAAACAACAAAATTATTTTCAGAACTCATGAGGAAATGAAACTAATAAAGATTTTTTTTTAAATGGTGAATATTCACTTTTATTGAATATTATAGATAGTTTTATGCCAGTAAAAAAGTTAAAAAGAAACAAATATTTTAGTACAAATAAAGAAAACAGTAATAGATTAACACTTTTAAGCAGCGTTAATGTATTTTTTTTAATAGAAAAGAGCTCATGCCTCCATATTGATCTGTTGTGGTAATGGATTGTAGCATTAAAGTTTCTGTTTTGGGGTCTCAGCTTCTACAGATTTGACAGTGACTTCATCAGAACTGATCGTACACAGAAGAGCCAGATCTGTCAGCTGGTCTTTACTCAGAGATGAGCCAAGAACAGTATTAATTTTAATTTTGAAGAGATTTCATCACATGAAACAACTGATACACAGATATTCAGGAAACAAAGTTTAACATGGGATCATTTGGCAGAGAGTCCTAAGAAATCCCATTTCACAATATATCCCAGAAATGGCAGTACCAACAGTGTGCTCAGTTCTTTGGGATCGAGTCCAGAAGCTTTCAAATGTCTAGGGTAAACACATTTTTTTTTTCCTTTTTGTCTTTTTTCATGACCGGTAACAGGATCGCAACCCTTGGTGTCGCGCCCACACTGCGCTCAACCAGTGAGCAGACTGGTCTCTATATGGGATCCGAACCTTTGGCGGGAGCGCCGCCACGCTCCCAAGCGCCGCACTCTACCGAGTGCACCACTGGGCCGGCCCTAGGGTAAACACATTTTTTTTTTCCTTTTTGTCTTTTTTCATGACCGGTAACAGGATCGCAACCCTTGGTGTCGCGCCCACACTGCGCTCAACCAGTGAGCAGACTGGTCTCTATATGGGATCCGAACCTTTGGCGGGAGCGCCGCCACGCTCCCAAGCGCCGCACTCTACCGAGTGCACCACTGGGCCGGCCCTAGGGTAAACACATTTTAAACACAACAGCTCCAGAGGTTCACACAGAACAAGAGAATTGGAGGGACTCGAGTTCTGTGTCTTCATTTTTACTGTCACCATGCAGTCGTGTTTCGGGTGCACTGCCGCCCAAAGCCAGCCCACACAATTCCCAGCTCTCAGAACCATCCTTTGCACGAACGTGGTAGCTGGATCTGTGTGTGTTGGGACCAACTGTGTAACTGGCTGTTATTAACATCTGTGTAGATGATGTTGCTTAAAGGGTAAGGAACAAGGACAGGTGAATTTGACGCTTTTACTTATGTGATTAAAACGCAGCAGTAGCCACAGCAATTGTTTAAACCTCAACCAACAATAGATTTTTGGGGGGAGGAATATTTTATCACTGACATTGTGTAGAGATACCAGCACATGGAGACAATAACAAGCAAAGTAACTTTTAGTTGGTTAATCTTTGTTAACTTCTCCGCAGTGTGCCCCTGTTGCCTGCACCTGGCACTGGCTGCCCCACCATCCCACCCTTGAGCCGTGCTGTTGCCCTGGAGGCGGCTGAGTTCTGGCTGGTAGAACTGTGGGCTCTTTTCTCCTCGGATCAGATGCTTGTCTTTGATGCTGGCTTGTTGGAGGGCCAGCGTGAGAAGCAGGGCTTCCTGGGAATCAGTCCTCTTGCTGTGGCACTAACTCCAGTTACTTAGAAGAAACACTGTTGTACCTGACCTTGCCTCATTTGGCCCCGGGGATATGTGTGCCTACATCAGCCCCTGGCCAGACATGTCAGTCCACATCGGAAGAACCTGCCCACACAGACCTTCCCCAGGAGCCACAGCTGCACGGCCTCCCAGGAGGCTGTGGTCTTGGGACAGCTGGACGCGCTGCCAGAGTGCAGGGCATTTTCCATGGCTCCAGGCCATCTTCCAAAAATGAGACAATAGCCACGGCCTCCTCCTAGGGTCTTGCAGACTCTGCGATATACAGAATGGCACCAGGGAAACAATACATGGCTTTCCATTTAAACCAGCCCACCTGCCCCCCACCCTTGGAACTGTTCTACATCAATTTGGAGTGAACCACCAGGCTTTGCCTGAGCTGTGACTGTGTGCTAGGCACTGAGCTGGGCACTGAGCTGGGCACCGAGGCTCCAGTGATTGACAGATCCCAGTCCTGACCTGGAGGCACTCACAGTCTCACCCAGGGGCCATGAAACACAGCATGAAACACAGCAAGCATTCTCTCAAATGGCTGCCTCGAGAAAAGGTGGTGTGGAAATTGTCACTTCTCAAAGAGCAAGCCAGATGGTGCCAGCAAAACTCTTGGTTCTGCAAGAACAATCACAGCTCCGTTTCCAAAGATTTAAAAGCAAATCTGGATCAGTGTGGGCTAGAGGATCCCAAACGCATTTCCTGGGACACCTTTATACTCTTAACAAGTACCAATCCCAAAGAGCTTCTGCTGATGAGGGTGATATCTATTGATATTTACTATTGTAGAAATTAAAACTGAGAAATTTAAGAGATATTTATAATACATTTCAAAATAACAGTGTAAATCCATTGTATGTTAACATAAATAATATAATTCTATGAAAATAACTACATTTTCTAAAATGAAGAAACGGTAGTGAACAGAATAGCACTGTTGTACATTTTTGCAAGTCTCTTTAGTGTCTGGCCTAACGGAGACAGCTGGGCTCTTACATCTGCCTCTGCATTTAGTCTGCTGCGATACGTTGTTTTAGCAGGACTATATCAAGAAAATCTGCCTCATGCATTTTTTAGTTGCAAAAGGGAGGAGTATTTTAGTACCCTTTTCATATAGCTGTAGGCATTCTTTGCTATTACACCAAAACTCGACAAGTGGTGATTTCTTAAAGGATGGTTATAATTTGAAATCTGAAGCTGTATCAGTGAACTTCTGTTGCTCTGTTATGGTAAAATACACTGGTCTATCTTGAACTTTGAATGTGCAATTTTGTTATATGCATGAGCCATTTGGAATATATTGGTTCACAGAGTTATGCGGAACCTCCAAATTTTGACACATTTTATTATGTAACATAAAAAATCACATTCGTTAATATTACTATCTGTCTTATCAGAAAAGCCCTCGAGTATAGGAAGCTGTCATGGTGGCCATGGATACACATTTTCCAAAATTCTGATTTTTTGCTTGAAAGCTCAAATGTTACCATTAGCAATAAATAATGTCAGCTGTTTTCTGGAAGTGAGAGGCTAACTTTGTTCATTTCTAGAAATATCTGCCAGATACCTAAGTCTGAGTAGCTCTCATTTGTCTGTCACTTGTTCTTTCAAGTAACAGTAGTGTCCATGACCAAAGTGGATCATTGAGCCCATAATCAAAGGGCTGCACCTGAGGTGCCGCTGTGGCCAGCTGTTGCCCGCCAGAGACCCAGGGGTGCTCTGTGACCCCATTCCATTTCATCACACAGAGCATTGAAAATGTCTTGTACTTAAGGGGTGAGATTTTTAAAAATTAATTTCACTGCTTTGGCAAGGAAGTCTTTAGTGGACTTGGCATTGCTTTATTTCCTTGGAGGGCCTGGCAGTGAGTTCGTGACTCCTGACTCACTTGGTGGCTGGCCTCTGTCGTGCTGAGGTCCCTGCACTTTGCCCACCATGGCCTCTGCACCCCTGGCACAAGGGTCGACCCAATGGAAAAGGCAAATCACATCTTAGTGGCACCGTGAACATCGTTTTCTTTATAAAATGGAGATGACGTGTGGGGTTGGCAGGACCTTATACAGTCAATTGAGCTGCGTTTGTAAGTTTGACGTTTGTCCCACCTGTGGTTAGCAAGTGGCACCTGTGACACGGAGACCCAGGGCTCAGTGAACAGCCATCTCCAGGCATTTTCTGTGTGGCCCATTTTGCAAATAGTTTGATTCCAGACCTGAGGCCCCGTTTTTCCATTTAAACAATCCTGAGCTTTCTCCCAGATTAGGTCAGAAGAAATGGCTTATTTTCAATAGTGGATGGATCATTTTCACTCGACTTTTAATTATAAAAGCAGCTCTGTTTATGTCTAAAAATACTTTCCACTAAAATTCAAGACTTGTGTAATATGATAAGGGTTCAAAAGTCACTTGTAAATTTCAAATCCAAATTCTTACATCTGAGGACCTGTTGTTAATTTAAAATATGAACTTGTCAATCGGAGTCAGGAACCTATAAAATGTAGAAACGTGTAAGCACTCTCAACTCTTTTATAGAAAATAACATTTACATCTGTGGCAGGAGGGTATTTCTGGCAGCCCGTCCTTAGACCTGTCTTAATCCACAACGTGATGTGAGAGTAGAGGGCGGGGACGGCCCCTTCTGGCGGGAGAGCTGGCAGTGGCTTGGGGGCGACAGGGGATCCTCACCAGTGGTGGTGGTCAGTGGGGGCCGGATAGGTGATGTGAAAGAAGTACCATTGGTAGAGCAGCAAAGGGCAGTCTCTGGGCAGAACGGGAAGAGGGCACAGACTTGGGCTCAGGCGGACCCCAGGTCCCCACCATCTTTGGCCATGACTTCCTGTTGCTCCTGGGGAACACCCCATTTGACCAGTGGGTGTTTCATGAGTTCTGTGGGTGCTCGGGTGGCCTGGTGTGAGGTCGGTGCAGGCCTGGGGGAGCCCACGGCGGGTGGGGGCAGGGCTGCTGCTGGCTGGGCCCCACATCCACGTGGCTCACCTTCTCCTGGTCCCTCTGTGCCACCTGCAGACCACCATGCCGGGGATGAAGCGAGACTGTGGAGGTGCCGCAGCCATCCTGGGGGCCTTCAGAGCCGCCATCAAGCAGGTGAGTGAGGCCCGTGCTCTGCAGTGGCTCCCCCAGGCCTTCTCCTGAGGGCTCTCCTCCTCCCAGCTAGCTGCGGCCCTACCAAGCCCTATCCTTCCTCTGCCCTTGGGTCCTTCCCAGGCCCCCAGAGCTTCCTGCCTTCTATTAGGCTGCTCTGCACAGGCGTGTGTCCACCTGAGTGTGTCACCCTGAGGGCGAGGTCCCTCCATGCCCAGCGCTTGAGGCCTGGCTCATTCAGTGAAAAAGCCTGGCCTGGTCTCATGCACACGGGGCAGGCGGAAGCACACATGTTGTCTGAGCACAGCCCTCAGCCTTCCTTATGTCAGAGCTGCCTCTAGGAAGTGGTCCCCCAGGCCAGACCTCTGTTCCCCCACCCTCGGCCTCCTTCCTCCCTTGCCTTGGCAGATGCCCAGAGCTCATCTTTGCCAAGCATCTCTGACCACTTGGAGCTTGGGTGACATCCTTTGGATTCCCAGGGTCCCCAGTGCCATAAAAAGTGCTTATGAGACAGATGAAGAGTGTGCGCCGCCCACGACACGCCAACGTCTGCCTCCTCGGCGGGGCTTTCCCAGCCAGCCTCAGAGAGGCGGGGCACATGTGCCACTAAATGCAAGATGTTCTTTCTCAGAGGCGTTACCCGTGAAATCTGGGTTCTTGGGCAAACTTGAGATTGAAAAGCAAAAGCAAAAGGCTTTGGCCCATGGTTTCTCTTTCAGACCAGTCAGGGGTCCACCTGTTTCCTACTGTGTGGGGGAGCAGAAAGCTCGGAGGAGGGAGGGGCTCCACCTGTGGAACCTCCTGGTTCCTGGGCCACCACAGACTGTGCAGTGGGCTTGGGACATGGGAGGGGTGAGGGGGTAACTTGGGCAAGAGCTGGGGGCTGGCACATCCCAGAGCCAGGCCCGGCAGCTGGGTCAGCTCTTGCTTGTGGCCGCACAGCACCTCATGTAGAAAGGGTCTAACTGGGGTTTGCAGCTAGAGCTGCTTAGGCAGAGCCCAGGTGTGCTTCCGTGAGCACCTGCCATGGCCCATCCACTGCAGGGCCCTGTGGGGGGAGTTGGACAGGGAGCACATGCTGCCTGCACTCTCATGCCCTTGCTGGCCGGAGACGAGCAAGGGCCATACCAGTGAGGCAGTTGGCGGGCACCGCACCGCAGGTCCCCCCACTCCCTCCAGCCAGCCTGGCAGATGAGCTCATCAGAGGATGCTGGGGACGGGCCCAGCTGCAGGCACTCGTGGTGGCTCCCTCAGAAGGGAGCGGCCACCGCTGTCAGCAGCACAGTGGGCAATGGCTTTGGAGGGTCGCGTGGCAGTGCTCTGTGGCTTGTCTCTCCATTCGGCCCCAGCTACTGCTGGAGCAGAGGGTCCGTCCTTCATCTGGGACAGGGTGACTGGGAAGTGCCCCAGAAGGGAGACTCGGGGTTGCATTTCCTTTCACAGGAGGCCACTCAGCAATTAGCGCTGATCATCTGCTGGCAGCCCGAGTGGTCTCAGGACTCCTCCACCTCCAAGGCTGCTACAGCCTGAGATTTGAGGGGTGCTTAGGACAAAGATCCCCCTCCCACAGGAGGATCCCTAGATTGGAGGCTCCACTTGGCCTTGACATCTCTTTGTTGGTCTCTTAAAAAAGAATGTGCCTCAATTTGAGCCACAAAATGAAAAATAATGGTAGTGAATAAAATAAGAATCCATGCATCCATTGTGGTAGGAATAAACCATTGAATGAATAAGTAGATGGGGTGGGGGAGAACTGTTTCTTACAGTGGAATGTGTCCCAGGGTACATCCCCAGGACCGCACAATGCACCTCCTGATGCAATGCACAGGGAATGGCACAGCCCTTCTGGGAACTCCTGCCAAAATTACATAACCCGAATGTGGTCACAAGGGAACAGTCAACAAACCCAGCGTCAAAAGTGCCAAGGTCACAAAAGACAAAGCCAGATGGCACAAGTGTCCAGATGAAAGAGACCAGGGTGTGTTGGGATTGGGTTGACATCAGTGCAGCAAAGGAAATCAGGGCGATGCCCAGAGATAACAGGATTGCATCTTCAACAACCCGATGCCACCCACTGCACTGTGATCACAGGAGATGCTGATGTGGGTGGTGTCTTGGTGAAGGGGGTCCCCAAATTGTGCTATTTTTTTTTTGGCAAGTGTTTTGGTAAATTTAATGTTATTTCACAGTGAAATGTTTAAGATGTTCTTAAAAAGACAGGCTATGCCATCCAAAGATGTAAAAGACACCGGGAGCAGGGAGGCACTGGGTTCAGGGGCATCAGCGCCCCTCCAAAAACACTGCTTCACTTTGATAACACCCTGGCTGCTGGTGGGACCATGCCCACACTCCAGCGTGGCAGAGACCTCCCCAGCTGTCTCCAAGGCCATTCAACCCCATCTTTGGCCCCCCTCTTCTGTTCAGCTGATGGCTCCCACATGTACCCAGGCATGCCCAGGGAGTGTGTGACAGTGACAACTCCTGGGCCCACCTCCAGCTCTTCTGAGCTCTGGGTTTTTTCTGTTACCCATGGTGGCTGGAAGACGGGGCTTTGAGAAGCTGTCCTGGGACTGGCTGGGAGGGCCCTGGGAGCAGGGTTATTGACGGTCCCTGTATCCCATTTCTCAGCATCAGATAACTGTCACTTCACACTTAAATCTCTGTGAGGCTGCACTCTCCCTGACCCTTGTGCTTATGTGTGTACATTGAGGGATGCTGATCGCTGGCCACGTCTGTGGATGAGGAGGCAGAGGTGGTAGCCAGCTTAAGCAGCTTGTGAGTGGCAGAGTCAGGACTCAAACCCGCAGTCCCCTACTTGGGCCCATCCCACTGCACCACATGGGCGTTGCTGGGGGAGGCTCAGAAACCCCCTAGGGGGGCGCGTCAGCCCCAAAAGTTGCCAGGATGGCACCTGAGGTGGCAGGGAGGGCTGAACTCTGCTCTCTGCACCTTGGGGCTGTCTGTGTGTCTGTCTGTCTGTCCCCTGCTGTCTGCAGGTCCCCTACCCCAGCCTCCAGCCTATAATGGAAGCCTCTGCTCCTTTTCCCTCCAGGGCTTCAAAGACAACCTCCATGCCGTGTTCTGCTTGGCCGAGAACTCGGTGGGGCCCAATGCGACGAGGCCTGATGACATCCACCTGCTGTACTCAGGGAAGTAAGTCCTCTCCCCTCCCTCACCCAGATCACCAACCTGTGCCTCCCAACCCCTTGGCAGGCTGTCCTATTCAAACTCACTGCCTCCTCCTACCCAGGGCCAGGCTGGGTCAGCCCCAAGCCAAGCCCAGGGTGGGAGTAGATCCCATACTCCGACCTGCCTGCAGCGCCCTGCTCACTCTAGGCCTGTCGGGTGCCTTGGCAGCAGGTGGCTGGCCCCTAGAAATGCCTGGGAGCTTTGGTAGCAGGGGGATCTCATGTGAGTGGCCTGTGGCACCTGGATGAGAGGCTGGGCTCCTTCTGGGTGCCTGGCCCAGGAACTTAGGGTCCACCCTGTGTGAGCAGGATGAGCCTTTCCAACCTTCAGCCTTGACATTCTTTGGGTGTCTGAAGCCCTGCCCCCCAGATTCCCTGCATGAGGACTCTCCCTGCATCGCCCCTCGAGATCAGCCCTTGGACTGCTCCTTCTCAGCTGCAGAAGGACATACCTGAAAGTCAGAGCCAGGGAGCAGGTGGCCCCAGGATTCAGAGCAGGAGAGTCCTCCCACCCCGCCCCAAATGCTGGTGTTGAGTAGCACCTCACATCCGTCACCTGCGTCCTCCCCCTCATTTACCCAGTACTGGGCACAGTATGCCAAATGCTGGCCCAACCCACTTCATACCACCTGCCTGACAGATAAGGAAACTGAGGCACAGGGGAGCTAAGCAGCTTGCCCCTGGTTCACAGCTAAGAGCAGCAGGATAGGGCATTGCTGTGGGGATGGGGTGTCCCTGCCTTCTCTATAGGGACAGGCAGCTCTAAGTGGGCCTCCCCCAGTTCCAAGGGGACTCAGAGAGTCCCACACCTGAGCTGGTGTCTCTGCCACACCCAGAACTGTGGAAATCAACAACACGGATGCTGAGGGCAGACTGGTGCTGGCGGATGGTGTGTCCTATGCCTGCAAGGACCTGAGTGCCGACATCATCCTGGACATGGCCACGCTGACTGGGGCGCAGGTGGGTGGCACTGTAGCCCCAGGGGTCTGAACCCTGCCTCGACCTCAGGGTGGGGTCTGCAGTCACTAGATTTTTATAACCAGGCTGAGGAGGTGGGAGGAGATTTTTTGGTGGGTCAGCGAGGGCACTGCCCACGTGAGCTCCTGGAACCGAGGTGCTTAATGTTGACGGGTCTCACTTTTTCTTGCTTTCTTCCTTCTTTCTGGTTTCTCGCTGCCTCTCTTTTGGCTTCTCCACTTTTCTGTCTGCCTCTCGGTCCCTCTGTGGTCTTTCGTGTTTCCTGCCTTCCCCGTTCTGGGTGCTTCCTGCATGCCCACCCTCCCAGGGCATCGCCACGGGGAAGCACCATGCTGCAGTGCTCACCAACAGCGCCGAGTGGGAAGCGGCCTGCGTGACAGCCGGCAGGAAGTGCGGGGACCTGGTGCACCCGCTGGTGTACTGTCCTGAGCTGCACTTCAGCGAGTTCACCTCGGCCGTGGCTGACATGAAGAACTCAGTGGCGGTAGGTTTGAAGCCTGCATGGGTGCGGCAGGACAAGCAGAGCCCTGCCCTCAGGGAGCTAGGCATCCAGGGGACAGAGTGCCCCAAGCAGCAGCAGCAGCGTCGACCAGGCCCACGGGGGCAGGTCAGGGTTCAGATCCTGTCCCGGAAGAGGGCATGCAGGAGGAGTGTCCGAGGGGGCTGTTCCTCCCCTGACCCCCCTGCCACACAGCTGGGGCCTTTATTCCCCACTCCTGGGTCTGACTCGGTCACCCCCCTCATGCCCTCTGTGGGCTTCCCCCTCGTCCTGGGCAGAGACAGACACTGTCCCCCCGGCTCCCCTCAGGACCGAGACAACAGCCCTAGCTCCTGTGCTGGCCTCTTCATCGCCTCACATATCGGCTTCGACTGGCCCGGGGTCTGGGTCCACCTGGACATCGCTGCCCCTGTGCATGCCGTGAGTGTTGGGGCTGCCAAGGCTGCCCGAGGCAGCTGCCTCTCCCACGCAGTGTCCCTCCCACCATCCCCACCACTGGCTGGGCTGGTCCCACCCTCCCCTCCATACAAAGCCCCTGCCTGGCTCTGGAGCTGTCGGTGGAACTTATCAGCAATGTTCTGAGTTGTGGGTCATGTTGTCCAAGGCCCAGCCTCTGGCCAGCTGTGGTTACCCCGACCTCTGGTCTCATCTTCCCTGGGATTGGAGTGGGTGCTGTGTGTTCCTTCCCCAGCCAGCCTACCCTCAGCAGGAGGCCCAGAGCCCTGGGGATCACCTTTCCCCACCCCAAGGAGATCTGGGGGCTGGGCCCGAGCACACAGGGCTGTGCCCATTGCTTGCCCTGTCTGCTGGCCTGAGTGTGTCGGAACTGCAGCAGGATCGCGCAGGGCTCCGGCTGTGGCCCAGGACCCCTGTACAGAGAAGGGCAGGGGACACGCGGGAAGCCCCTTGCTGCAGAGGTCTGGTGGGCAGAGGGGCCTCCACAAGCCCAGGTCTCTGCCCGCCCTCTGCCCGCAGGGTGAGCGAGCCACGGGCTTCGGCGTGGCGCTCCTGCTGGCGCTCTTTGGCCGTGCCTCTGAGGACCCTCTGCTGAACCTGGTGTCCCCGCTGGGCTGTGAGGCAGACACACAGGAGGGTGACGTGGGGAGGGACTCCAAGAGACGCAGGCTCGTGTGAGGGCGTGGCCCCCACCTCAGCCCGGGACGCAGGCTCTTATACCTCACTTTGCACTGATTAATTTTAAACAATTGAAAGATTATACCTTAAATGAGTTTGGGTTTGTTTTTGTTCGTAACTGTGGTGGTGATGGAAACAGCTCGTTCCCATGCCTTGGAAGACAGCTGAGGCATTGGTGCGGCCACCGGGAAGGGGCCACAGAATGTTGGGCTTGTTTCTGCCTGAGCTACCTGCAGGCCTCGCTTGCCGGCTTCTGCAGACTGTGCTGCCCCTGGCCTCTGGCGCCACCTTGGCCCTGGGACCTCCTGCCCCCACCAGTGCGGTGGCAGGTGCCTACGCACCATTCTCTGGCCCCAGGTCCTGCAGATGGCACCTGTGCTGCAGAGAGCCCAGGCTCTTGCTCCAGTGGGGCCGCCAGCACATCCAGCCTGCCCACTGCTTTGACACATGGAGATGACCAGCCACGGGACCCAATTTGACCGAGCAAGAGGAGTATGCTCCAACCCCTCAGAGTTCACTTGAGGTTGAATTAAATACAGCCACACCACACTTTTGCGATGTCTCGTTCTTTCTCCCATTCCTCCATTTTAGAAACAAACCGGGTCCTGCTTTAGGATCCTGCTGGTTAACCTCACTTTGCAGACAAGAGCCCTGGGGCCTGGGGAAGAAGACGGGGGCCCTTGAGTCCAGGCCTGCACAGCCTGCCAGTGCAGTTTTCTGAGGGTGCACAGACTCCAGGTGGAGACTCCTGGGCTTCCTGGCCTCTCTACAATCTTGCAGTCTGCAGGGAAGGCTGTTCTGACCCCCAACACATCCCAGGGCGTGTCTTGTATACCATCAAGTGTGTCTCCTCAGCACCGAAGCCCCCTGGGCACCATCCTAGGTGATGAAAGGCAGTGCCCAGAAACCAATTCTGATTTCCCAGGAGCCCGGCCAGGATTCAGGGAGATCCGTCACACACACCTGGGCCCCAGGTCAAGCAGATGAGGCAGGCCGCACAGCACCTGGGAGTCAGCTTCCCAGAAGTGTGGGTGGCAGTGCAGGGCACACAGAGACAAAGTCCCCGCCACCCACACTCTTGTCTTCCGCCCCAGTGTGGCTGCCTGGGGCCCAGAGGAAGAGATCGGGGCGAGGAGGCAGCTGCCCACACCTCTTCTGCTGGCCGCTAAGCAGTGAGAACTCGGCTGCAGGGCTGCAGGACATTCGTCCCCAGGCTGCCCCTGAGCCCACTGACCCCCTCACTCCAAGGCCCCCAGACACCGCGTCCCTCCACAGCCCTGGAAATCAAGGCGACTCTTTCTGGACTTGAACTTGATCCCAAGCAAATGTTTATTAACTGCCTGCTGTGTAGACAGCTCTAGCTGGGCCTGAAAAGGCAGGAACCAGCTCCAAGACCTGATGCTGTCAGACACTGTTGCCCAACGGAATAACAGTGATCATAGGCAGCAGCCAAACGAGCAGGAGACAGAAGGCTTCTGAGCAGAGAGAGGCGCGGCTGCGCTGGAGGGTCCAGGAGCCTTCACGAGTCATTAGCTTGCTTAATGGAGTTGCGATGGGCAGCTCTCACCAGCTCTCGCCAGCTTCCTTCTGAGACACCCAGAGGAGGCAGAGGTCACCGAGGTGGTCTGGCTCCTCCGGGGCAGCTGGCACTGTCCACTCCCCCCACCAGGGGCTATGCCCGCGTAGATACAGGATGCAGGGTCAAGGAGCAGGGGAGGAACTGAGTCTCCCTTGTGCGGGCACAAAGGCAGCCTCAGGGCCAGCAACCCAGCTGGGAACCAGCTGCAGGCTCAGGACCTGCCTGTGTGCCCAGCGTCAGGGGGCCCACAGGGGTGAGCCAAAGGCTTTGTTTGCCCCAGGGTAAAGGGTTTCGGATGCAATGGCTGCTTCCCCCGGCCCCGCTGAAGCCCCGGCAACAGGGTCACAGGGCAGCCAGCAGCAGGGACAGGTGGGCACTCCCAGGTCTGCTTGGTCGTGGTTTCCAGCGAGCGGTGCAGGAAGATGAGCTTGGCAAATGGCCGCTGCTCTGACTCCAGCTCACCTGGCTTGCAGACCAGGAAGACATCGGTGCAGAGCCTGAGCAGGCGGCCCACGCTGGCAGCTCCTCAGACATGAAGGAGTGTGAGAGGCTGAGGAAGTGCTCCCAGATGAACTTGGCCACGACCATCGCCACCGACATATAGAGCCTGATGATGCTGGAAGGCGGGCAGCGTCAGGACCCCACCCACAGCCGCACACCTAGGGTTAGAGGGCAGGTTAAACCTGGGCTGGGGCAGAGTGATGTTACCCACAGACAGGGACAAGGGACAAGAGAATGGAGAAGTGTCATTGGGGAGAGTGGTGGGGACAGGAGGTTAGAATTCTCAGCTTTCATGCTGGGGCCCAAGAAGCCTTTCAGGGCCTGGGGAGCAGGTGGGAGGAGAGGGAAACCTGGCCTCACCTCCATGGTAAAGGGAGCCCTGGATCCAGGGCCTTGTCAGCGGTTTGTGCATTTCCAGGGCTGGGGGAAGACAGGGACTCGCAGCTCTCCCAGGGCATTCTGGGCAACAGAGGCAAGCAGGGGCTGGAATGATCTGGGAAAGCCCTGGGCTGGAGGCCACAGTTCTTCAAGCCAGGGAGGGCCTTACCTATATCCCTCCAGGAAGCCCAGGCTCTGGGGACTGACTTTGTCGTCTTAAATGACCAGCTCCAGACCGTGGCTGTGGCCCCTGTCCTGCTCACAGCCTGGCCGCCACTCCTGGACCACCCACCACTTGGTGGCCCAGCCATCCTGGGGGGTGTCTGTGGGCCTCAGCTGCTGCAGCCGGCCTGTGGTGTTGCGGAGGAAGGCCAGTGAGTCCACATCCTGCAGCCTGCAGGGGTGGGCTGTGTGAGGGAGAGGTAAGTCAGCTGCTTATCTGGGTCCCCAGAACTGGGGGAAGGGCCTCTTCCCAAAACTCAGGCTGCCTGTGTCAGCAAAGCAGGGGAAACCAGGGGAGCCTCAGTGCCAGGCCCAGGACATCTGCAGATGGCCAGGGCCACTCAGGTGACTGCATCGGGGAGCTACCTCTGACAGGCCTCAGAGGACGTTCAGGCAGGACTCAGTCCCTGGCAGTGGCCAGGGAGATCCCTGGAGGCCTGAGCTGTTGCTTACACACCCAGGCCTGGGGTGAGAAGCAGGCTGGTCTCAGCATCCATCCCTGGCCTGGCTGCCCTACTAAGCAGCTGCCTGCAAGTTGGGTTCCAGGAAGTCCATCTGCAGCAGGAGGGAGAAACTCCAGGCCAAAAGCCTGTCCTTGTGCATGTATGATCCCACAGTGTGCATGCATGTGTGTGCCAACGGCATGCGTGCACATGTGTTTTCCACACAGAGTCCCCACTTGGGGCAAATGTGGAGTGAAGTTTCCTCCAAATCTCCCTCCGATCCTAGCCCAGGGCTTGAGGTCCCACTCTCCCCAGCCACACATACACCTTTCTGTGTCCCTTCACCTTTCTGTGCCACCAAAAATGGAGGAGACGCTTATTTCAAAGAAGCAACTCAAGTGGAGTGAGATCGTTTCTATTGGGGAACCCGGGTGGGCCATTCCATCACCTTAGAAAAGCTCACCTCATCGCTGCGGCTTACTTACTCCAAGCAGGGGCTGCTGACCGCCCCCAGAAAAGTTCTGGTGCACCCACAGGCTTTTCCCACTCAGGCACAACAGGACCCAAAACCCCCAAATGCTCCCCTCCTTCCTGCCTTGCTCAGGGTCCCCCACCTGGAGTCCCTCCTTCCGAGCCCCTCCCTCCAGCATCTCCTCCCGGTGTTCGAGGTGTGCTTAGAAGGGTCCACTTGCCCCCTGGGACTCGCTGGGTGCACTCAGAAGCTCATGAGCTCACCCGTGATCCCAGCAGGGCCCCCACCACCCAATAAAAGTTTGTTGAATTTGCTTCCGTGATTCTCTGCCCAGAGCCTGGGTTTAGACTATGTTCCCTGGGGAATTAGTGTTCAACATTTTTGTTTGTTTATTCATTCTTTAACAAAAGGTTGTTTTGGTTTGAGATTCAGCGAAAACACACACTGCATTCAGCTTCCTCTCCATTCAGGATGCAGTAAATTAGTTGTTTTCCAGTCTGCTTCAAGTCCTTGCCTCAAATGAGCCTCCAACAAAGATAATGCATTTAAAAGCCCTTGGAAAAGTACCGGGCCCCACGCACATGCACGATATTGTCGTCATGCAAGCTCTCCAAAGGCAAGCCTTGCAGCTGGCACGGCCCCACCCCCACGCCAGGCTCAGCCCCTGCAGAACACTGGACCCGAAAGGGGTCCTTCCACACAGACCCCTGGATAGGACTCAGGAGGGGAGGGGGCCACCTTGTTGTCCTCCTGCTGCCGGGCTGGTCCCCAACACCCAGGCCTACCCCCCTCCACCCCCCGCGGCCTGGGGCTTCTCTCTTCCCTGGCACAGGGGCCCAGTCCAGCCAGCACCGTGGGGATATGGAGCAGGGAGTAGCAGATGGCAAGCCAGCACTCCTTCAAGGGGCATGACCAGGCCTTAGCAATGTCCCACCGAGGGGCCATCTTCGCTTCAGTCCCCACTGTGGTCCTGAGGGCTCTGAGGATCAGCACAAGGAACACTTTGCAGTCAGGAAAATAAAATTGAAAACAAAAACCAAAAATTAAAAGCTCAGAAGCCAGACTTACACGCGCCATTAGCACAGAGCACAAGGTGGCCTCCAGCTGCAGTCATGTGTCCCCGCTGGCTGCCTGAGAAACTCAGGGTCATCTGGGCCCCCTCGCCTTCTAAGTAGCCTCGGAAGTCACCACTAACTTCCTGACCATGGCCTCTTTTCAAGGCCTCAGACTCTCCCTTTCTTTCAACAAGTTGGATGAATTTTGTGCCAGCCATGACCGTGCTTGGTCCAGGCTGCAGTGGCAGCCTGAAGCCAGCTTCCTCAGCCAGTGGTATTTATTAAGCACCACCTGCATGCAACCCCTGAAAAGCTGATCTCTCCTGTGAGGGTGCCTTGCTAGCCTACAGCACTTGAAATCCAGCTTCCAGAAGAAGGAGCCAGAGCTGCCCTGTGGAAGGTTGGAGGGGGCCTTGCTCCTGGCACCCAAGGGTGCTGGGA